AACTCTTAGATACTTACATGGACAAAGCCACCCAAATGAAGTCACAACTGAGAACAAAATTATGATTTTTCATTTGCCACAAGAGGGCACTCTTGGCTTTGCTTCCAAACCTTTTCAGAAGGAAGTTTTCTCTAATCCCTTCCTCGGGGGAGAGGCAGAGAGCTGTTGATTTATGAGCCAGTTTGTCATTGGAGGACTGGTAAGATCAAACATGTCTGTGGTCATTTCTAGGATTATGACTAATCCTGTCGAATGCATAACATCTGAAAAATGTTCTCAAAGAGTAGCTGTGTCTGGAATGTGACATGAAAATAAAAATGTGCCTAATAGAGTGGTCAGAACCTCAGACTTGAGGGGAGGAAACGGAAATGTCTTTAACCTTAGGCCTCACACTTACAAAGGACCAACGTTTAGACTGTTGATATTATCTCCAAATAATGAAGATTATTCTGTGTTTGTGGGTATTAAAGGCCTTAATTTGTTCAATGAAAACATTTAAAATACACTAATTTTAACTCTTTTCGTCCTTTTTTTAACATATGGAGAGATTTTCAAAATATGACCCCTGAAAGGCAACATCAGGTTGTAATAATTCTGATTTTTTAAAAAAATTGTAACTAATTCAAGAGTATTTATTGTATTGTTTTAGGTGCAGATTTCAAGTTCAATTCCAAACTAAGCAGAAAACTCTCTGCCCACATGTTTTAGTAGTACAAACACAAATACTTTTGCATTTTACATTGTGCCTTCTGGATTTTTAAAGCCTTCTCATAAGGCTTTGATCTTTGCAACACCTTTGACAGGTGAGGTATTTTCTCTGTAAATCATTCCCATTAAAATAAATGTTATTTCTTTTAAAGGGAATAATTTTATTTGCTATAAAATTTATTTGCAATAAATATATGTATGTATTGCTTACTTTAAATAGGTTGATGAGAGTTCCAATATCAGTAGAAGCACCCACACATATATGACCCAGATGAATCACAAATATAAAGTGTTTAAAACCAAATATGCACCAGCATCCATGTCATATTCTTCACCAGCATTCCCCTGTTTTGGCGTGGATAATGAATGTTTTCCAAGTCTTTTGTAAACTGCCTATAAATGCAACTTCAATGCCCCACCCCAACACCACTTTTGATGTAGGGGCACGTGTCTTGAAACTGACACTGACCAGGCTTCGCGCTCAGATTGGCTGTACTGTGCTATTTAACTCTAGCTAGTCTTGACCTTTCTGAGGCTGAGTCTTCACTTTTACAACCAGGGATTAGATTATCCACTCTCTATGAGTCCTGATTTGCTACAGTTGTAAAACGTTACAACACTTTTCATCTTCCCTATCCAGGAATAATTGTTCCGGTTAGATGGATAAATTGTTTTGGTTAGATAGATGCTAAGACAGTTTCACTTCATTTTGGAAGGAAACAAACATGAAGGTCACGCACAAGAAGACCTTATGTAGTAGGTAACGCACTTTGCCAACTACATATTCTATTTTTATTGGGGGGTGCGGGGTGGGAGGTAGTACCCAAAGTCTTTTGGTAAGTTGGTACCAAATAGCATCTAGATTGTATTAAACATGCATAGACTTGGATGTTGTACTCTCAGAGAAGTGATTTGATCTCTGTGGTAGCTAGGGAGAAAAGGATTCCTGCACTCTAGCCCTGTCAGAAAGACCTTGCCAAGATAAAAATAATACACAGGAAGTCAAATCAAAAGGAGAAGCACAAGAAACAGTGTGGCCAAAGGCCTAATACCATTTGAAATAAATAAATGTCACGTTTTATGAAAAACCATTCCAGGGGATGAGTAGACCTAAACTACATAACCAGTGCTCAAAAAAAAAAATATTGAAGATTTTTAGCCTCAATTTAGAGCCTATATCTTTTAAACTGTACATTGAGTCCACAAATAACTCTTTAACACTTAGTGTGTGCAAGGTATAATGCTTGGTGCTGTGGGAAGAAATCTTGGAGATAGAATCTGTGCCCTAAAAAGACCCATTCATGCAAAGCTGTTAAATCAATTTTGTGTAAGAAAAGTGTTTAAAGATGCATGTTTGCCAATTCAAGAAACGATGCCACTTCAGTCAAGACTAAATAGGGCTCCATTTTATTTGGCTCCATTAAGTCATGTTCTGTTTGTGGTTGTCCAACATCCTGAGCCTATGTTTGCAGCATCCTCTGTGGCCTGGAATGGACAACTGATGACAATTGAACTGACCACTTGCCTTGCCATGGTTGCCCTTGTGTATTAGACACAACCTTTTGTCCTGGTGGCTGCATGGAATGCAAAGGCAGAGAAGCTGGTGGCTGTTCTTCAAAGTGCCACAAGCAAGAGGGGGAGAGCCTAGAACAACCAGGGGCAAACCAGGGCTTCCAGGTCTTGCTGCACTGGGCTTTCTGGGGAATATTCTAACAAGCTTAGTGATAGAGGATGGAAGAACCAAAGAAGAAGAATGGGTTGGTTGGAGCTACGGGCTCAAAGGGGGCAGTCCTGACAACAATCTAATAGCTAAGCATAAATTAAGCAAACCTGCCAATGCCGCCCACTTAAAAAAATCTATGAGAGCATCCATCCAAACCATCCACGCGTGATGACTGAAACCACAAGGAAAGGACAGCATGTACGGATAGAGATTTGAAGGTTGCCTTAATTTCTGTTGAGGGCAAATCTGAGTGACATTTGACGTCTGAGCAGAGTTCAATTGTAAGCCTGAGAAGGTGAGTTTTGATGGACCCTTTGGAACTCTGAGGAGCCCAAGAATGAAGGCTGAGTAAATGGCATATGCTACATTCAGTAGTGTGGTGTGATTCTCAAATAAACCTTCTTATTTGTATTATTTTAAAATCATAAGTAAAGATCAAGGAAAAGAAGCCCTTCCTCTTCTCTTTGAGATGCTGCTTGAGCCACACACAATTCAAGGGCAGGGGGATCCTCACCAGGAATGGAAACGAAGACAGTTCCTGGTGGCGCAAAAAGCGAACTGGGAAGAGCACGGGAGGACGGGGAACACCGAAGAGATCAGAAAGGACAGGCTTTCTCACCGTAAGAAACCCAGCAGCAGGGAGGCCCAGGGCCTGCGTTGCGCCTGCCTCTGCTACCATCCAGAGCGCCAAGACAGTAGAAAACGCCACTTTCTTTCCTGTTTGGCATTGGCTGTCAGGAAGCTCAAAGCTGCCTCTGAACCTTTATCTCCTCAAGACACAAGCAGAATATCATAATAATCCTATGGCACACGGAGCCCTGAGGCTCAGAGAATGGGCTGCTAAGAAATATCCACGACCCATCAGTGGCAGTTCAGGGACACACGCTAGTTGGGATGTTCTGAATTACGAATTGGCCTATTATGGGTGTGTGAGTATAACATCCTATAGACCCCATGTATATATTATGTTATTATATATTAATATATGACTATACATTATAAACTGGCATATTATATACAATGTGTCTAATACAGTGGTTGGCAAACTCATTAGTCAACAGAGCCAAATATCAACAGTACAACGATTGAAATTTCTTTTGAGAGCCAAATTTTTTAAACTTAAACTATATAGGTAACTATATAGTACATTGTTATGAACTTAATTAGGGTACTCCTAAGGCTTAGGAAGAGCCACACTCAAAGGGCCAAAGAGCCTCATGTGGCTTGCGAGCTGCAGTTTGCCGACCACGGGTCTAATATATAGATACATATATTAGGGTATGTACATAGCCTATATATTTCTAGGCCCAGATATTGGTCTATATTTTTGTTGTACTTATTCTTTCCTCACAATATATAGCTTTATATCTTTTTACGTAATTTTATTTGATGTTCATTGCTAATTTTCCTCCATTATGATTTAGGTAAAATGTGAAATGTAAATTTAAAATAATGTGTCTTGAGGGGGTGTGTGTGAAGGTGAAGAGGGCATAGAAGGGATACATGGTGATAAAAAATAAAATAAAAATGATGTGTCTTATTTTGTATGCTTATTATGTGCCAGTCACTATGCTTTTACTTCCGTCAGACCACAGCAATAATAATGCCTACTTCCACGGACTGGGTGAAATCCCCTCAACTAAAACATTTAGTTCGTGCCTCACAGATGTTACATGATATTATTATTATTATTTTCCTATTTAATGCTCGAAATAGACTCGTGAGATAGCTACTATTATCATATCCGTTGGGGTGGGGGTAGATCTGAAAATGCAAAGCTTGGAGGAGCGAAGTGCTGGCTATAACCTCACAGACACCAGAGGCAAAGCGGCGTCCCTGGCTTCCAAGTTTTCGTCCAAACCTATCTGCTAAGGCGTTCCTGTGTTTCAGCCACCGGGTCAAAGGAGGCTTTGTTGGTGGTCTGGGGCGGGGGGGGGGGGGGGTCTCCCCGGAGCTCTTCTAGTACCCACCTCCTCACGGCCAGTCAACCCCAGTTTGATGGCAGAGAAGCGCAGGTGTGGGGCGAGCCCCGCAGTCCGGCGCTGCGCCTTGGGGTGGTTTGGAGGAATGGGGGCCAAGGCGAAGGGCAAATTGGCGCCGCGAAGCCAGCCCAGGGAAGGGCAGGACAGGCGCGACATCTGTCCAACCGGCAGCTCCGCGAGGCGTTAGGAACAACACGCAAACATTCCCCTTAGGAACAAGGTGGGTGCTTTACTGATCGTATTGCTTCCTGAGATGCAGCGTCCTTTAGTCAGTTCTGGGCCGCGCTAGAAGTTAAAGCCAGAATGTATGTATGTATGTATGTATGTATGTATGTATGTATGTATGTATGTATGCGTATGTACGTAAAGCGAAGAACAGTCGCGGTCCCCTCTTCTGCCGGGGAGTCTCGCCGTCTCTCGGTTCCCGTCGCTGGTCTGCGCGCTTCGGCAGCATCACGGAGGGCTGATTAGTGGCCGGGTGTTGCGAGTTCCTCTGAGCAGACTGTGTGCTGGGGTGTGGGGTGTGTGTGCTGGGGTGCCGGGGGCGGGGGGGGGGGAGTGGAGGGAGCCGGGAGGGCAGGATCTGGAGCTCGCGGCGAACCAGCGGGGATACATCCTCTCTGAAGACCGGAATTGGAGAGGCTCCGGACCCGCCGCCTGGTCGCATCTGATTTCCTGCGCCGATCGCCGCCGGGACTCCCTCCGAGAAAGGTTAGTTTGCCACTCGCTCCGGGTTAAATTTACAGGGTGTGCAGACAGCAAAGATTAGGACTACAGAAGGTGCGCCACTTTAAAAAGTTCTTAAAAATGCAATTGTACTTGGCGTTTTCATGGATCCACACGGGCAACGTGTGCATTTGAAGACGAGTAGTTCTGCGTTGGTTACACGGGAGCCCTGCTGGTGGTGATGGGAACATCCCGCATCTTCTTTGGGGGTGATGATGACACACGGATCGAGTTACCCAAACTCGAAATGCAGCCGCAGGTGTGCCGTGTAGCAGCTAAAGGCACCTCTCCGGAGCCAGTGAGGGATGCCAGCTCCGCTCAGCTGGGAAAGGGCGGCAGAGGCAGCTGACGTCACGCCGGGCGGGGCTCGAGTCTCTATAAAATCGGTGGGACGCCAGCCGCTGCAGCGGCGGCCAAGCAGCGCCTCGCCATGAGCAGCCCCAACTCCTCCCAGCTCCACGCCGCCGCGGGGTGCAGCTCCGGCCAGATGTTCCTGCAGCCCGTCTGGGACCGCCTGCGGAGGGAGGCCCTCACGCAGTCGCCCTTCTTCCCGGTCATCTTCGCCATCACCACCTATGTGAGCTTCTGCCTGCCCTTCGTGGTGCTGGACCTCCTGTGCCCCTGGGTGCCCGCGCTGCGGCGCTGCAAGATCCAGCCCGACAGCGCGCCCTCGGCGCGGCAGCTGCTGTCCTGCCTGCGGCAGACGCTCTACCAGCACCTGGTGTTCGTGTTCCCGCTGACGCTGCTGCACTGGGCCCGCAGCCCGGCCCTCCTGCCCCCCGAGGCCCCCGCGCTGCCCCAGCTGCTGGGCCACGTCGTGCTGTGCCTGCTGCTCTTCGACGCCGAGTTCTTCGCGTGGCACGTGCTGCACCACCGGGTGCCCTGGCTGTACCGGACCTTCCACAAGGTGCACCACCAGAACGCGCCCTCGTTCGCGCTGGCCACGCAGTACGTGAGCGCCTGGGAGCTGTTCTCCCTGGGCTTCTTCGACGTGGTGAACGTCTGGCTGCTCCAGTGCCACCCGCTCACCGTCCTGGTCTTCCACACGCTCAACATCTGGCTGTCGGTGGAGGACCACTCCGGCTACGACTTCCCCTGGTCCACGCACAGGCTGGTCCCCTTCGGCTGGTACGGCGGCGTGGTGCACCACGACCTGCATCACTCTCACTTCAACTACAACTTCGCCCCGTACTTCACACACTGGGACAGACTCTGGGGGACTCTGCGGCCCCCTCGCGCCAGGTAGCCCGCACCCCTCCCGCGTGGGGGTGGCTGCGGAGGGCAGGGGCTGCCCCTGGGAACCAGGACTGTTGGCGCGTTTTCACACTTGAATCAGAAGAAACACGCCTGAGCTCTTTTATTTTTATATTTTAGTAAGTAATTTATTACCTGCTGGAAATTTCTAGAGACAATCTGATGTGGGTTTTTTTGCAATCTGATGAAGTAATTTATATCAATTTTTGTATATCAATAATTGTATACTGGGTGTTGAATTCTAGCTCACTTCAGTAGCCTTGATTCCTGGATCGATTTAGACAATTATCACTGGCATATTTAAATCATTTCTAAATGGATTTGTTTGTAGGACAAAGAATTTCCTATGTTTGAAAGTGTTCTAGAATGAGACTAAAAATCATATTTTTTAAAATGCAGAATCTGATGTCTGATGCTATAAACAATGCAACATGTTCCTGCTGGACAGTAACTAAGATGATCATACTTTTTTTCTATTTTTGTTCACAGAATTTTATATTTATATGGAAAGAAATGTTATTTATGCTTAAAAAAAATATATGAACCAAATAAGTACTGGCTCCTGTTTCATTGGCATTTTGAGTAAAAAAACTAAAACGGGGCGAGGGAGCTGGGATGGCAGGTTTCTGTCCCAGCCTCCCTCTGCCCCACCTTTGGATGAGAGAAATCTGGTGGTGGGCTGTGTGCAGGGGGGTTACAGGAGAGGAAAAGGCAGGAGAAGGGGTCTGTCTGTTTTGGCCTAGAGATTTTAAAGAGGAAAAAAACACTATTGTTCTAAATGTGTTTTAATTGTTTTCTGCCTCACAGGCAACTTAAAGAATTACCTTGTGAAGTTTTAGAGAGATTAACACTGAGCAACCATTTGCTTATCTGGGGGGAGGGCAGTGTTGGGGGATGAATAGAATTACTGGGGTGCCTTGCTTTACAAAACTGGTGAGTCAAATGGGTACATTCGAGGGGCTGGTAGATACAGAAAGGGGTTCAGAGTGCACCCCCCTTTTTCATGAAGCAATCTAGTACAAATGACGATCGGACGCATCGTCTCGGCTATTTGGGAATTTTGTATATTCATTTTTCTAAAGTAAACACACACGCAAACTGCATGTGCATTTCTCAAAGGAAAAAAGTGAAATTTGAGCCTACATTCCTAGTTCCTCACCTTAAAAGGAGATTGTGCCTCCGATGTTCTTCTGCTTCTTTTGTTATTTTTTTTTTAAATACATTTTTATTGATTTCAAAGAGGAAGGGAGAGGGAGAGAGAGATAGAAACATCAATGATGAGAGAGAATCACTGATCGGCTGCCTCCTGCATGCCCCCACCGGGGATCGAGCCTGCAACCCAGGCATGTTCCCTTGGCTGGAATCGAACCTGGGACCCTTTAGTCCACAGGTTGATGCTCTGTCCACTGAGCCAAACCGGCCAGGGTGCCTCCGATTTTCCTGAAGATTATTTGTGACAGTAAGTGTCCCTATCACTGCTCATCATTTTCTCCATTCAACTGCTGCCCAATTGTTTTAATTTTATCTTTGGAGTGTAGTTAGATAGGGCAAAGTTAAAAGTCAATACAATTTAGACAGAAAAGTATAAAGAGTGGCAGCTTTGCATTTAATTTTAGGCTCACTACATATATGAACCAAACTATGTGTCTAAAGGTGAAAAATCCATCTAAAGACCTGGTCTCCACAGTCTGCCAAATGAAATCCCTCCAATTCTTTGGCAAAATGCAATTAGAATGCCTGGCAACTAACTCAGAGGCATTTTCCTTCCCAATGTGTGTGCTCTCGGCTTCTTCACTAAAGTTATCTCCTCTTCTGTCCTTAGCAAGACCAGGCTGGGACTTAAAGTCTATATTGATGTATAAAAGTGAAATCCACGAAAACAGGTAGTGAGATGTAAGGGGAAAGTGCTGATTGGAGGTCGAATGTTAATACATGATTAACAAAGCAAAGAAGGATGAACGGGCAGGTGTGGAACATCTGATAGAAGTATTTGTTGTTTTGAGCAGCTCCAGTCTCCCCAGAGCTGCCTGCAAACCTAGGATCATGACGATCACAGCTCACTCTCTGAGAGTTTTTAACAATGTGCCATGTTGCCTCGCCTTATAAGGGAATTTTACAGGGGAATTTCACTTGGGTCAAATTGTCCACATAGAAATTATTTGGGCTTAGAAAGACTTTCTCAAAATCGAATGTCTTATCAGTTTGTACTACCTTGAGAGGTGGAAATGGAGTGGAGAGGATGAGCAATTTTTCAGATAGCTTGAGGGTCTAATAGTTATAACAATAATAATGATGGTGATGAAGTAGTTCACATTTTCATTCACTGTCACACACATTGCTTCTTACATTGCTCTAAAGGAGGTAGGATAGTTATCATCATTTAAAAAATTATTATTATTATTATCAAACGTTCTAGATAGAGAATTGGTACCTCCATAGGTTAAGTGACTTACTCCAGATTCTAAAATAATAGAAGTTGGAGCCAGTTCTCGAACTTAGGTCTGGTAGTGTATACTGTCCCTCTTCTCTGATGAAGCTTAAGATAATCTCCATTTTACCAAATGCTGTTAAGTTGCAAACTCTGCGGCACCAACAAATGGCCTCTCTTCACTATTCCTCCCCAGCCACTGCCCCTCAACACGGTGCCCCCCTAGCCCACTATTTTGATGTGGACGTCCCTGGGTTCCAAGCCTCTGCTGGGCAGGAGGGAAAGCTAGGGAAAGTAGGCCTAGGTCATCTAAGTGGGCTTGAGAAAGCATGAGGCCAGGGCTCTGTTTTCCCTGTCCTTCACGGCATGTCAGCTAGCACTCAGGCTGAAGTCAGATGGCCTGGGCCAACCTAGACTCTGAGACTTAAAAGCTGAGGGACTCTGGAAAAGTTAATCTCTCCATGCCTTGCTTCCTTTCCTATAAAATGTAGATAATCATAGAACCTACCTCACAGAGTTGTTGCCAGAGATTTTGAGCTACTACTAGGTGGATTGGAGGATTGCTATGATGGATATTTCATGATGTGGATACCAGGACTGTAGCCTTCTGTTCACAAACATGTTTGAGCTCTCTCCTTTTACCGGGAACCAAAGAAAGCCATTGTTTATTTTGCTTCCATGAAAGCTGCTTAGCTTGTCATCTTTCAAGGCCAAAGTATTGGAAAGAGACAGACTGGAAAGTGTCTGACTGGTTTGTCGCCATGAGTCATCCCACCTCTTCCTGAAAATTTCACCTCTGTTCACTGCCATCTTCCTAACTATCAAGTCCATTGATTCCCTATGCCCTGCCCTCGTTTTCCCATTGCCTTGATTTGTTTTTTAAGGTCTTTCTTTTGCTAACTAGCCTCATGTTGGAATTCAGTTCTTGCTTGCTTTTAATAAGATTTCTCTATTTTCCTTCCTAATTCTGTTTCTTCTTCCTTCAGGGGCTGCTTTCCTCAGAGGGAGGCAAGCCTCAAGGTGCTTCTATTTTATTAAAAAATATCTAAATTGTGTGTAAGAAATGTCCTTCCTACCATCTTCAAGTGCACCCTATAAGTCTCTGCTTTCATTGTGTTCTAGTACACACACAGATGAGGTATATGCACACATATACCAAGCATATGTATGAATAGACACTATATATGTATGCACACTATATATATATATACACTATTTATGTACATGCCATATACAAGCTATATATCCACACACTATAACATAAGCTCATGTATACTATATATACGTATATCTATAATAATAAAGGCATAATATGCTAATTAGACTGGGCATCCTTCCAGATGACCTTCGGGAGGAAGCTGGGACTGCAAGGGAAGCCCAGGTCCCCAGGGCCAGAGGGAAGCTGGTGCCAGCAGCTGAGGGGAGGAAGGCCTACTCTTACACGAATTTTGTGCATCAGGCCTCTAGTATATATATATATATATATATAAACTATACGTGTATGTACTCTATATATACTTATACACTTTATACACACTACATACATATGTGCACATGTTATATATACACACTTTATGTACATGTGCCAACATTTTATATATAGAGAGAGAAACTGTATATGTATATCCACTATATACATACTCCCTTCCCCTCTCTTTCTACACACACACATACACACACATATGTACACACACACACTTAACACACCACCATTTCTCTCTGCCCCTACTACCATGCCTCATTCTTTTTTTTTTTTTTAATATATTTTATTGATTTTTCACAGAGAGGAAGGGAGAGAGATAGAGTTAGAAACATCGATGAGAGAGAAACATCGATCAGCTGCCTCTTGCACATCCCCCACCGGGGATGTGCCCACAACGCAGGTACATGCCCTTGACCGGAATCGAACCCGGGACCTCTCAGTCCGCAGGCTGACGCTCTATCCACTGAGCCAAACCGGTTTTGGCCATGCCTCATTCTTGATAATGATTGGTTTAGTATTGCACGACTCCTGGAAGCAGTAGAAACACACCTTTGCCATTAATCCTGTCTTTCTTTATCCATTCCATCCTCCCTCACTAGTTTATCCTAGCTTCCTAGATAAGGCCATGTTCACAACCCACAATCCCTGTTCTAGGGAGGTGCACAATCTATTGCAAAAGAGAGTTAAGCAAACAAATGAATCTACTCTAATGTAGCCAGTGTGATCATGCAGACGAATGACGGGTTGTTGAGGAAGCCTAAAGAAACATGGGTCAGTTGAGCCACAGAAATCATGAAGGATTTGTATGTGTTCCCAGGCGTGCCCACCAGAAAAAAACAGTGTGGCAGAATCAGAGAGGGAGGACGGAACTTGACATACTTAAGACACGGTGAGAAGCTCAGAGCACTGTGAAGACAAGGGAGGAAAGTCAAGGCATGTCGCCTTGCCTCTTGACAAGCCATTGAACCTGCTTAGGACTGTTTGCTCACTTGCCTATGCCACATGGTTTTGGGAGGTTGTATATAAAACTGCTTTGAAACAAATGTTAGGGCTTGCTATTATTTATTGATTTATGATGAGTACATGAATAAATGCATTGAAAACTGGACTTGGAAATGTCATGTTAAGAAGCTTAGGTTGTGTTCTCTGGGCTATGGAGGGGAGGGGTGGGGGTGCCACAGATTTTAAGCAAAGAAATGATGTGATTCTATTTGGTTTAAGAAGATAACGGGTGGCAGTGAATGGTGGTAGGGATTCAGTTCTGCCTGGATTCCAAACCTGGCTCCCCTGCCTATGAACTTTGTGACCTTGAGCAAATCACTTAATCTCTCGGAGGTTCAATGTCCTCATCTGTAAAAAGAGGGTGGTAGTGCCTACCCTTGAATTGGGGTAAGAAATAAGTAAAATATTTAGAGAATTTAGCACTCTGCCTCACATATGGCAAACACTCTGTAAATAGAATCTCTTTTGCCACTGGTTGTTACAAAAGGGTTGTGGATACAGGTGAGAGACAATACGTTTGTCCCAAAACAAGTGGAGATGAGGTGTAGAGGAAGAAATGGATTTCTCTTTGATCATAAAAGTAATGCATGCTCATGGAAAAATTTCAAATGTGAGAAAACAGTGTAAAATAAAAAGCAAT